GCTCTCTCGGGCCGCAGTGCGTCTCGGGCGCTCCCAGGAATCCTCTTTTATGCCAGACCTAAACCTCGAGTCTGCAGTTGCTTTTTTTTTTTCTTTTTGTCTTTTTTTTTCGTGACTGGTAACGGGATTGCAACCCACGGTGTCGCGCCCGTACCGCGACCGGCAATGGGATCGCAACCCTCGGTGTTGCGCCCGCACCGCACTCAACCAGTGAGCGAACCGGTCTCTATATGGGATCCGAACCCTCGACAGGAGCGCCGCCGCACTCCCAAGTGCCGCACTCTACCGTGTGCGCCACTGGGCCGGCCCAAAGCCCCAGCACTTATTAAAAAGTCACTTTGATAACTGCTGTGTCCCTGTCCTGAGGAAATCATTTTAAAGTCAAAGAAAACAACATATATGATTAGGATATTTCAAGTGTCTTTTTAAAAAGCACTCTTTAGTTTTATGCAATTGATGAGCTGTGTTGCTTAAGCTCTGCTGATTAAAAAAGTGCTTTACATCCACGGACAGATGACCAGATAAGAAAAATGTACTATATACACACAATGGAATACTACTCTGCCATAAAAAAGAATGAAATTCTGCCATTTGCAACAACATGGTTGAGCTTAGAGAAAATTATGTTAAGTGAAATAAGCCAGGCACAGAAAAAGAAATACCACATGAGGAGCTAGAAAAATAAACAAATGAAAGAAAGAAACAACGATATGACAACCACAATAATTCATTGAACTTTCAAAAGGAGAGAACAGAAATGAGGCCACCAGAGGTGGGAAAGGGGAAGGGGGAGGTGGGTTAGCCAGAAATTGGTAAAGGGACACTAAAAATAATTACATTGTGTAATGTTGAATATACTAATGATCCTGATTTGAACATTACATATTGCATGCAGCTATTGACATTCAATGCTGTACCCCACAATGTACAATCAATCATGTTTCAATAAATAAAAAAATAAAAATAAATCTTTTACAACTACTGCCATGTAACATGCTTTGGGCAGTGTGCACAGTTTATCTAAAATCTGAGATATACACAAGATTCTAAAATAGTGACTGAAGGACTGTCCAAACGGTCATAGCAATGACTGATGATTAGTGACAAACAAATGCACACAGGAAAAGGACTCCTGGTAGTAACGACATATTTAATTTGTGGCTGTCCTGTGTCCCCAGAGACCCAGCAGACGTGGTGGCAGGGGCTGGGTGGCAGGGGCCATACTACACAGGGCAGCTGCTCTCTGCCAGGCCATTATCACTCCTCCCATCATTACCACAACCACTCGGGAGGCTGCCAACGGCACAGAAACCAAGAGAGGCAGAGAAGTCACAGCACTTGGTCTCCGTGGTCACATCGTCAAGCACTTAGTGCACATGTAGTGTATGCTCGGACTAAGGCAGGCGAAAGTGACGGGAAGCTCGGGTTTTACGCTGCTCCGTTCATTTGGTCTTCAATTGCCTTTCCCTACTTCACGTTTCCACTTGTAAAACAGACAAAATGCAGACATACTACTTGCCATTACATCCAGGGGAGACTATAGGGACCCATGAAGAGTGCGGTGAGCTTCGACTCAGCAAGCAGGTATAGCAGGTGTGGGGCGTGCAGCTGGTGCCCGGAGCCCCCACCCTCAGCACTGCAGGCCACAGGAGCCCACCTCTAGCTGCCAGCTCCTGTGTCTCTTTGCAGAGCCCTCCTGCCCTGACCTGGTAGAATCGAGCACTGCTGGAGATGGCCCTCACCCAGGCCCGAGGGCGCCGGGAATACGCAGCCCAGCCCAGCTGCCACTGAGCTCCCGGTGCCTCGGCTGCAACAGCCCATGACAACCATGGTGTGATCACCTACTCTCTGCCTCTCTCACTTCCCCACTCCCAGCCGGCAGTGGTCCCTTCACCTTACAAATAATCTTCTTGCCCTTGAGTC